CCCCCAGTGTATTACATGAAGCTAGCATCTGGGGAAACACTATCCTAAGGGCTTCAAATATCAGAAGTTACCCCAAATACACAACTTCCCAGCTAGGCAGAATATTGAAATAAGGAAAAATATGAAGCACCTTTATTACCCAAACCATTTTTAACCTAGTCCAACCGTCAAAATGATGTCAACTCAAGCTGAGCTGCAACGGATTTTCTAGTGATTAAAGGACATAGAAAGCTGGGGTGACCTACTTGGAAAATTCAGCCATTTCCTCTTCATAAAGCTTTCTTCTTTCGGTGAGTTCCACCGGCAGGTACTTTGCAATTAATTCCTCCATCAGCACCGTCTTGCAATGTTTCTTCATGGCCAAGCACTGTATGAGAAAACAGGATCCTGTTCAGGACAGTTTAGAGTGACACCGTTCTGGGACAAGGTATTTTTCCAATGCATAGTTTCCTCTCTCACTCTGTTTTTTTAAATATTATTTTGGTTTTATAGTTACTAGATCACTAGAAAAGATGGTGTTGGTGGGCTTGACATTAGCAATTAGGAATGGAGATAAAAACCATTTAGTCTGCATTTAAGACTGAGTATTCCCAATTTTAAATACTAACGCGTGCAAGGAAACTTCTTTCATTCGTCTGAAATCTGCCATTCTCCGAATTTTGCAGATAACATTTTTCCGCTTGGGAAAAAAAGAATAGCTGGGGAAAGTTTGCACAAAAATACCTACACTCATGAACTTATTGCACAGAAATGAACTGCAGTAGGAAAAAACTAACACAACGTACCGACCCACATGTTATAACATGTGCTTCCTCCCTCCCCTTGCTTTTTAAAAAATAATTTTTATTAATTCATTTTCAAACAAGCATACACAAAATAAAAATGAACAATTCACCACAGGTGAATTAAAAAAGGAAAAAGAAAACATACCACAACAAACGAAAACATAAAAAGGCAAAAAAAAAATCTGTAATTATCAATTACAAATATATTTATAATTTATAAACATATATAATATATACATATATCAGGGGAGATATTTATTCACCTGATTTTATAAGTCTTTAAAAGGAGAAACTAAGCTTTCAATCTTTGCCAACCCTGTCCAAGAATTTTAACCCCTTTTTAAATTAATATTATTTGTTTAAATGTTAAATGCTTAAAATGTAGGCGCCTGTTTGGAGGTCATTTTTGATTCAAATGATCAAGACAGACCGAATGGGAGACTGGGGTGGGGGGAGAAGAGAGAGAAAATAAAATTGACGGGTGGGCTCGGAAGGCCTCCGTGGATGTTTGCATTTTATGCGAAACCGGTGTGGGTTGCTTAATGCGAAAATGCTATCTCACAAAACTTCTGCATCACTGTTGTGGCTTTCCTGTGGCTAAGTGTGTCATTCAAACCTGGAACTGTTGCCACTTCTCATTAGCACTCACTAGAATCTGAAGTCTTAACGACATGTTGGTTTCAAATTTCAGTGCACGGTTTCTGGAAATGGTGGCTGCTCTGGGTCCCGTGACCTCCTTCACCATAGAAAGACACCAACTGGGGTCAAGGCGTTGAGATGGCAGTTCGCAGTAATCCACCACAGTGTTTCGTGTATTGTGCAACACATTCAAACAGCTTTTATATTTATCGTAAAGGAACCATTGTTCCATTGCTGGGGGTGCTCAACTACAGAGAGGGTGGGAGGGGAGGTAGTACCGCACACGGGAAGATGATTTTGACTGGCAACTGCAATCCTCAGACCTCACTTGGGGCCGGCTAATTTTTATAACCCTAAACCCAACTAGTTCAGCAATGCTAATTTACCTCCAAGAGGTCCTCTTTGCACAAGGGGCACTTTGGGTTATGATCCAGGCATCGTTCAAGGCATTTGAGGCAGAAAGTGTGCCCGCAGGGGGTGGTAACAGGTTCATAGAAGAGTCTGGGAGAGAAAGGAGAATCGTGGGAGTCAGAGCAAATCACAGCAGTTTCCACACACGTCTTAAGTCAAACTATAAGGAAACTCAAACATGTGAAGACACTGAAGCACAAAGTGGACCTCACGCAAACAAGCGTTGCAGTACAGGAGTTTAGTCAATCAGCCTGGTCTTCTCCAGAATAAGCTAATCCACTCTCCTTGTTTTCTGGCTCTCCCTCTCCATTGTCACTCAGCATTCTATGGGATTTGGGGGTTCTTCTCCTTAAATGTGCATATTTCTGTGACCCTTGTGGCTTCTGCAATCTTTCTTGTGTATGCGTGATGCTATTTGTCTTAGTAGGAATCCATGTTTGGAGAATGGTTTCATCTGAATAGCAGATTAGTGGCACAGGGGTGTCTTAACCTGGATGGAAGCCATGAATTCATAATAAAAGCCAACTCTTCTCCTAGGGCCTGGATTCCAATAATGTTGTTAGGGGAAAGGTATGAGACACTTGAAGAGATCTCCAAACTTAACCCTACCTTTCCCCTTCTAGGTACCCACCTTTGCTGTACATAAAGCAAGATCCTAGTCCACAGCTATGATTGAGGATTCCAGTTTAGCCAAGGAAAGGTCATACATATATTGATTACTAACATTACACAATTAACTCAACTCCGCCTTCCCATGTTTTCTCCCAACAAATGTACCAGTACACTCACCCACTCCACATCTGTATGTCAGGTTACTTGGACAGACACACAAGGCTATTAGCTGTTGTGGTTCACTGACCAGCAAAAGGTAAAACCATCAATCAATACCTTGGCATTTCATAATAGGCTTTTGTAACTAATATCAAAATGCCCAAAGTTAAAAGAACTGCTATGTTTACCCCTTAAACCATAATGTAGCTAGTTTTTTTCCCCCAGTGTATTACATGAAGCTAGCATCTGGGGTTTGTAAACTGCATTTTATGGCTTAGCTTTACCTGTATCATGGTTAATCCTGGAGTAGACTTAAAACAGTTGAAGTCATTGGTTAAGAAAGGGAGATCTGTTACTAATGGATGGAACAGCATGGCTGCATATGTTAATGTGTTAATGCAAGCCCAACACATAATTTGTTGAATAAGTCATGCTTCACGTTGAATCAGGATGGGTAGATTCATTCATTGCACAAAACCAAAGCTTATCCAAACCATAACTCGAACTGTAGTATCTGTTAGAATTGGACTAATGCTTTTGCACTGGCCTGACCATAGAGAAAAACCAGATACCTCATGCACAGAGAACATTCCAGGTCAGCTGCATCCACACATTCAAAGACGATGCAATTTCCAGCGCTGGATTCCTTCTCATCACTTTGATCTACTAGAAAGGATCAAAGGGCAAGGAAGAGAGAGACACCCATCATGGTGCAGTAATTAGGAAAAAATTGTGCCAAATGTCATTTTCCCTGAAAAATCTGAACTGCAAACGCCCAACCATTCTAACACACATTTGGTGCTTCAGGGCAACAGAAGTACACTTGCAAATTTAACATTAAATTCCTTAAACTTATGTTTAATCTGAATCATAGATCCCACTGTTATTAATCTTGGGTGTTGTAGAAAGGGGGACAGTGTTTTCTGGAACAAACACAAGATCTTTCTGGGCAGGAGAACAGCTACGAAAGCCAAAAGTGAAAATAACTAAATTCCACACAGAAATATATTTTAAAAAAAGAGAGAAAAAAATAAGAAAAAGAACAGCTTTAAACTTTCTCCTAGTTTTTCATACTTTATCTAGGTCCAGCAGCCAACAATCTATAAAACAAATGGACTGTGAGCCTAAACTCACATTTACATATTTCACAGTATTTGTAAACTGCTCCAAATGACTCTAGACAATGCTAACAACAATGAAAAATCAAAATCCCAAAGAGAAACAAATAAGCAAAAAAGAAAGGAAAAACAAAACAATAAAAAGGCAGCAATAAATGCAACAGCCCGTGTTCAGTAGAGCCAAAGATGTGTTGGAACGATATCGCTTTTAGTTGCTTTCTAAAAGTACATAATGTGGGGTTGACTGAACCTTTAGGGCAGTGTTTCTCAACCTCAGCCACTTTAAGCTGGGGGACTCCAACTCCCAAAATTTCCTAGTCAGCTGGCTGGGGAATTCTGGAAGCTGGAGTCCACACACCTGAAAGCTAACGAAGTTGAGAAACACTGCTCTAGAGGAAGGATGCTCCACAAGGTGGGGTCTATCCTCCATGGCATCCATGGGGAGGAGCGTGTGTTGAAATTTGCAAGATGGTGGTGCAGGGTCATGATTCAAACCTGCTCAAAGGAACACAACACCATACCTGCCATCTTGCTGTAGAGAGAAAGGAAGCCTTGATAGAAGTATGCAAGATCCGTTGCCTAGGGAGAAGGGGCTGAAACATTAAGTCCAAAAGTCCAAATAACATTTGGAAGCGGCTCAGACAGACACCTCCCTAATTCACTTTGCTATAAGGAAGAGGAGGTCCAGCACGATCAAACCTGAAAGATTCTATTATGGTAGCCAATCTCAATGAAAGTAATTTTAGCCTTCTATGGAGTCAATTTCCTGGTCTGGTCTACCTAGTGGAGTTGACACTTGCTGATTTTGATTGCTTGTAAACACAACTTACCCCTTTTGGCCATTTTGTGAGGCTGATCAGAATTCGCAGCCACTTCAGCATGGCGCCTTTTCTTTGAGGGCCCAATTTTCTCAGGGGCAGTCTCCACTGCTGAGGAGACAGCTCCGTTTTCTTCCAAGCTTCCTTCATGGCTTTGGAAGGGTTTTCCTGAGTTGCCACAGTGGGTCATTTTCTGGTCTTCACAGTGCTTTTCCTGGTCCGTGCTAACCTGCACCAAGGACAAAGCATCATCAATGATCTCTGAGACTTCTCATTTGTCACAGTCCTCCAAGTCCCACCAGTAGACACCACAACAGTCTGACATCCTACCTGACCAAGAGTACCCAGCAAAACTAATGTTGCTATTTGAAAAGTCAGCCTTTCCAAATCTGGGCTACGTGACAGAACAGCAGGAGCTCTTGGCCCATCACTCCACCCTCTTCTCCAAACATTCCACCACCCACGAGTGACAACAAATGTAGGCAACACCACCGGGGGCAAAAAGGAGATTTCACTCCTCATTTTGATGGGGTGACAGTGATACTCTTGACTATTTCCTTTTCTCTTATGTGTAGTCAGAGGGTCTTTCTTTTGGGAAGGAAGCACCACAGATCGGTGGCGATACATACATCGGGTTTTTTTTTTTTGCATGCGAAAGATCCAAGTTCATTCCTTGCTTTCTCCTGCTTGAATTTCAGAGAACTACTGCTAGGAGTGCTGGGAACTGTAAGTCACAAACAACTGGAGTCTTCAAGGTTCCCCATCCTCAACCAGCCCTGAGCTGGAAATAGTCTTCCTTAGTTTACTGTGGTTTCTTACTTCCTGGGGGGCGACACAGGCTGAGTTTATGTGAGGAACACTGAACCACACATTAGCCCACTGCTTTTCAGTGTTGGACAAACCCAGCCTGTACAGTTGGTGATGGCTTTCTGCTCCATGTGAATCCAAACCATTGGGTGAAATGAATAAATGGCAATTAAGTTAACTATGGGTTCACATCAGCCAATCCTTGATACATCCCTGCTAGAACCCCACGTTGTGAATGCCTCATATTTGATGGATTGCTGAACTCAAGTCCCAGGTCTGAACCAGCACTATCAACCAGTATCTCTCCCTCCCTTCCTTCCAGGTAAATGCATACAGATCCACAAATGAAGGATTACCTTCAGCAAACTTGGCAGGCTATGGTTGATGCCTCCAGATCTCACTGAGCTTAAAAGGCTTCCTTTTAATCTAGAGTGGTGGGACAACAGCAGGAGGACTTCAGACAGGTTTTCCTGAGTGTTTCCCAGGATACGCGAAAATAAATTAAGTAAAAGCTGTGATATAAAACAGATATGCACACACTTCACTACTTAATTCAGAGATGGAGGGCCTCTCTGTCTCTCACACAAACACACTCATGTCCTTTCCCATTTAATTTCTAATACCTTGTGTTTAAAATTATTTGAAGCAAGTGATGGGAGGGGAGAAAAGACTCTGCCAGGGACTTTGTGCATACATAAACACTTCAAATAGGCACGACTGAGCTAGATGGATCAGCAGGATGATTTAGACCTGGAATTATTTTATTCATTCATTTAAATGAATAAAAGATAAGCTTCTAACAAAATCTAAAATATAACTTTCCAACGAGACATGCAGAACAATGGCATTAGAAAGGCAGATAGACACATATAAAAATCAACTGAAAACACAATCAGTACAGACAAAACTACCAGAGTATAACTAACTGTTCAAACATTTTCAATAGGCTAAAATCTTCCAAATTCTGAGTAGCCTAAAGGAAACCTTTCAACATCCATATAGAGATCCCAAAACTCTTGAAATAAATAAATAAATAAATATTTTAGTAGTCTTTTTTTTTTTTTTTTTTTTAAGTAGTCTTCACCCTGGATGCCAAGACACATGTAGATGAGTTTCTTTGGAGGAAAGTACTCTAAATCTCAGCAGGGGATGCAGATAAACAAGCATTTCTTAGGAAGATTTAAGAATACTGATAGGTCAAGCCTTCCAGGAGGCTCCTGATTAATTGTATACAACCCCTGTAATTTGATGTTGATGCTACAGTACTTCCTATTACATCTCCTGATCAATAGAGAGCCTCCTACATTATAAAACAGGTGCTCAATATCTTGGTTCTAATCTGATCAGATGTTGACCCTTTTAAAATACAGTGTATTTCCACCTCACTCTTTCTTCAAGATATACAGGCCAGTGTTCATGGAATCAGCCTGCTTTGATCTCATAGCATCCTGCAACATAGGTTAAGCTAAACAACAGCTTGTGACTCAACGCCAGGCATTGGTTTCAAGGTCAGAGCAGGACTTCCAAACCAAATGTTTTCTTGCCCAATGGATATGCCAAACCAGACCCAAATTTAATCCTCTGGCACAAAGCATGATTGTATGCTTTGGCATTCGAAAACATCACAGCCTGACAGTCAGAGGTAACAGATGATTACAAAGGTATGAAAATCATAGGTTAACTGTATCGTGCTTTTATAAAGTATGAATTGCAAGCTTCTTTATAACACAGAGGTTGGAAACTTTGACCTCAGAAAACAGAGCTCCTAAAACGGTTTTTGCCAGTCCAGCAAACTGGTCATTACCAAATAAACTTTTGGGGAGAGAGGAAGAATAAGCCCAAAGCAGTTGGCATCACAATTGCTTGGCAAAATGTCTCAAGTTTAATTTTTGGCCTCCCAGTTAAAGGGTCTGGAAAGCACACAGACGGAGGGAGGTCTCCACAAGCAAAACATGGAGGCACTAGACAGCTTCCTAATTCCTTTGTTTTTTAAAAGTCTAACTTTATTTTCAACTCTTATCCTTTGTCTCAGGGCTAAATAGCTAATTCTGCAGCGTTGCATCCAATCAGTCCAAGGAGACTGGCTACTGGTTTTTTTCCAAGTCACTACATGCTTGTGGCTTCACGCACAGCACATGAGTAGTAAAGTCATCGGGCCACGTAATTATCTTTTGCTGGCAACATCTCCCTTCTTCCTTCCGTACCTCAAAATGATCTTTATTCTCAGTGGAATCTCTTTACAAGACCTGAGGATTACCACTGGGAAAAGGTCAAGATGGAAGCCATTTGTCCATCAAGAGTCAGAGCTAACTTGTTGGCGTCTAGTACTGAGCAAAGGGTGACACCCCTGAAATACGGGCTCTACCTGCTGACCCTCATGATTCAAGGCACCAACCCAAAGAGCTGTTTAACACTCCTACCCACCAGGCAGCTGAGCTCTGCAAATCTCCCTTGGTTTCAGCCACAGAATTTTTTTTGCGTTCAACTTTGAGGATTATTTCACAACACTTTAAGCAACCACCACCTCCTGACAGAGGGTTCTGCCACTCCACCAAAGGGAAATGGCTTACAATGGCCTTTGCTCAGAAGGCTTACAAGTTCAGAACTCAGAAGTTCTTTGGTTCAGAATCTTGCCCTGGGGAAAAGCTGGGAATCTCTCCAATGACAAGGCTGACTCCTCATCTTTTCTCACTCCTGCTACACAGCTTTTTCCAGTTGGAGGGGTGGATCCCAACCTCCCAGGTTTCCAGTTTGCAAACTTCCACCAGGAAGGCAGTCTTAACTGCAACTTTTGAAATCACAACTGTTCACTGCAACTTGCTTGCTTGTGGGTATTACTAGCAAGACACACCAGTGCAGATACAATACGAGGACAGCACAGGGCTACAGCTTGGTGGGGAAAAAGAAGATGGCCCATGCATCAGGAAAGAAAATGAGCTGTTTATTGGAGGGGCCTGTGAGTTTTTATTTCTTGCACAATCAAGAAAAAGACATTTTATAACCAAGCACCAGACTACTCAAGTGACTAACAAAATGAAGGACGAGGCAGTTTGGGGATGCTACAGTCAGAATCCTCTCAGAGAAGCAAACTTTTCCCTAATTCAATGTCAGTCAGGCCAAAATCTTGCAAAACTGGATTTTCCAAGCTGGAACTAGGTCAGAATAATTCTAATTTAAAAAGTGCACCTCCATGCGAGTTTGACAGCAGTATCACTCTTTTCCCTGAACTATTTCAACCCCTTTTAAAGATTATGTAACACTTCAAAATTTGAGATGTTACCCAGTAGGCTTGTCTGGAGAGGATAAATTAAATGCTAAGTCATAAATCGTGGGGTGTTCTCATTTTCTGACGCTGTTCAGAAAGAGCAAAAGTATTTCTGTTGCACGGAGTGCTAAACAAAGGATGGGCGGAGCTTGTAGGGTTTACGTGTCACATTTGCTACTCCCAACCTCAGCAGAGCAATTCATGTCAATACACAACTTGGCCCCATCTTGGCAAACAGAGTTGAAATGTGTGTCTTGCAAAGCCAAGTGAGGGCACATGCATGCAAAATGAAGAAAGAAAAATTAAAAAACCCATGGAAGAAATATCAGCATCCTTATAAACAATACAGAGCCCTGCTCTCATTATGTGGGACCTTTTATATAACAGCTCCCGGTCCCGAAGACCTTGCATAACAGATAGGCAGGTGGTGTAAAGTGAACACCAATCAGTTTTTTCCCCCCAAAGTCCAGTATAGCTACTTTCATTAACTGGTAACAAGTTTCCTCCTTTTTTTTTTTAAATGAGGAGATCACGCTAGGTTGCATGTTAGCTAAAACAACACACCGGCTTACCCTTTGAGCCTCAGATTTCACCTTCTGGTTCTCGTCCTCCAAAATGAGGCAGAATAAAAACTCATGAAAAGCTTCTTCCGTCTTCCCCAGGCTAGCAAGAGCTTGTCCCTTTCGCAAGTGGCCCTGGAAATTAGAACATCATCTTTGGCGTCAAACTGTGAAAGCAATACCAGGATCACTGGGGACGAGAATCATTTAAGTGAGCCATTTCACTATCTTCTATTGCTTGGCCTCCGTGCGTTTTCATTCTTTATTATTTTAGTGGATTATTTCTACCCACATGGTACTCAAGACAGCTGATGGCAGAAGCAAAACAAGACGAGAAGCAATTAAATTTTTTTCCCCCCCAAAGACTAAATTAACTCAAAGCATCCGGCTGAAAAGCTTGCTGACCTTGGTTGCAGCTCACATGCAAGCGGTTCTCACTGATATAGCCCCTCCGGGCACCCAAAGCATTTTGCACTCATCAAGGCTTGCAATAAAGATAAGCTTATAAGCCACTTATTGCTTATTTGATGTGATTATTTATCAATTTATAAACCGCCTCTGTCAAGGCTACTCTAAGAGGTGTGTAGAAGCTGCAGTCCATGCAACAATAACCTATAATAGCAGATATGCAATATGTAATGATAGTAAACATTGCAATGAGATGATATTCCTGGCACCAGGAGCCTTACAGCACTCAAGTTGCAAAAACCTTCCAGAACACAAAAGTTTTAACGAGCTTCCGGAAGGCCAGGAAAGTGACAGGTGTCCTTCTCCTGGGGGCACAAGCTATTCTAGAGGAGGAGAGCACCCTACAGAAAACCCACTTTCAGATCCTTTGCCTTACCACACCGCTTGATAGATGGGGACTTTCAGCAGACATTCTCTTGGATCTTGGGTTGGGTGGGCAAAATCTCTACGGGATAGGTGGTCTCAAAGATACCCAAGTCCTGAGCCATACAAAGTTTCGTATGTGATTACCTGCCCTTGAAAACATATCAATAGCCAGTGTGTGATGGAATGGAATTATGAAGGCCAGGCTCAGGGAGATAAGCGTTTTCTTAGTTCA